TCCTTGGAGGCAAGGATTCTGGGGCTTCGTCTGACATACTTTGGACATGTTGTAAGGAGAGACAGGTCTTTAGAAAGGGACATCATGCTGGGTTGAGTAGAGGGACAGCGCAGGAGGGGAAGACCCTCTATGAGGTGGATTGATTCAGTGACTGGGGTAATCAGGATGGGTTTGTCAGACGCAATGAGATTTAGCACAGGATAGAGCAGGGTTTAGGGCTGTTGTACATAGGGTCACTATGAGTCGCAAACGACTCGACGGCACATAACAACAACAACAATGCATATACATAGAAAGCACTGTTATTTATACTCGCCCCAAATGGAAACAAGCCAACTGCTAATGAACAAGACTGTAGCAAATTCCTGCCATAAAAATACCACCAAAAAATTATCACATGCCATTTTAAAATAGTGGTCAACTCCTACTGTACAAAAGAACTTCAAAAAATGGTTACACATAAACTCCCATGATAGAAATTGGGGAGCTTTCACAAACCTAATGGTGAACATACATACATACATACATACACACACACATACACACACACACACACAAAATATACCATTTATATATAAAACACAAGTTGCTCAGTGGTGTTAGAAAGGCATGCTAAAACCCACTGCTCTCCAGTCAGCTCTGACCATGTATGAGAAAACATTGTCCATTATCTTTCTCCTACAAAACCTGAGGGATGAGCGGTACACTTATGCCACCCACGGCTTCCTAGTGGCTGTTCATGGGAAGTATTAAGCACCTTGTGGGAACTCCTTACTACATTTATGACTTGTACTCTTTAAAACATAATTTAATACATTTTTTCCCAGACACACTTTACTATAATTAATACTTGCTAGAAATTGAGGTTTGACATTATTTACAATTATACCACCATTCTTGGAGTTTGACTAACACAGGCCACGTGTGCCACATGATCATAAGAAAGCCTTTCATTCCTCCCAGTTCTATATTTTAGCTATGATGTCCAGAGCAAACTGTTCTTAACAAGTAGAATTTTAAGGTCCATTCAATTCTAGACTTTCTTAGATCTTTGAGTCTATTTCTTTGCAAATGGGAGTGGAAACTTGAACCAGGGTCTTCATATCATGCCTTCTCATGTGATGCCAAATCTTTGCTATTCAATTTAAGATAAAAGGAGTGACTCGCAGCAGAGCCACATAGATAAGTTGCATATGGAAGAGATAACATCTTCGCACATCTTCCCTTCCATTTCCTCCATGTCTAGCTTCACAGCGAGGCCCTCGATCCAGAACATTGTAGTCTGTCTTCCTGCTTCCAGGTGGACACCTCTGCTCTCATGTGGCCACCTTGCACCAATACATTTTTTAAAAATGTTTTTTGTTTTGTTTTAATTTGTATTTTATCAGTGTGTGTGTGTGTGTGTATGTGTGTGTGTTCAAATCGGATCTGACTGGTACAGGAGGAGATTGGCCCTCCTTCTCCAGCAAAGCATCTGGTGGATTTGAACCACATACCTCTGGGATTGCAGCACACAGGTTTTTGCCACTAGACTACCAGAGCTCCCTTACATTACATATTTTAATAGTTTACATTTGAATAAATTTCCCTTCCTTCCATCCACAAGATTACATTCACTTAATTTTTCTTACCAAGGACATTAAGAGAATGTCAGGAAGCCAGAACGCCTTGTCCCCGTGCAGCCGTGGAGCACCTTCAATGTTAGAGCTGCCAACCCAGGCCAGAGGAACTGCTAACGACCAAGACAGGGAACTGGACCAGTACAGACTGGGCAGACTGCAGTAGAGACGGCCTTGAGTCTAACTGCACTGCAAATCTGAATACAGATTGTGGCAAGGTATAACCAGACGAAGCCACAGTTAAAGGTTTTGCTTGCTGGATAAAGGAAGGAAAAGTTGACTTGTAATGGCTCTGAGATCAAGTTTTCTGAGTGACTGAGGAAACAAGAGGCTTCTTGCATTTGTGCTGAACTGAAGCTGGACTGTCACTAATTGAGGAATTGTGCCTTGTTCACCTAGTTTGGGACTGCTGGACTAACTATGGACTTGCATCGTGTGACATTCTTTGCCTTCACCCACTCTTCATCCAACCTATTTCTTTAATAAAGCCCTCAACCGTGAGTAAAGTATGTGGGTCAATTTGCCATGAATACAGGACCCAATGATTCACAGAAATAGTTGTAGGATTATGTAGCACGTCTGACCATGTAGATGGGTATTATTGATGCGGACAGTTCCCCTTTATGAAGCAAGTAGAACTCACTCACCTACTTCCAAATTGTATCTGCTCCTTTTAAGTCTTCACAGGAATAATATTGGTACTTTCGTTATTAGCATGCAAATAAAATTCCCTAGTGCTAAATTCAATCTATCAAACAAATAATTTATACATTCTCCATTTAGCTCCCCCTCCAAATGTAAAACCGGTTTTATGTGCCTGGCCTATGGACTCACTGTGCGAACCTCCCATTACAAGAGTTCAAAGCCAAAACAACTATGAGATATTATCTCACCCAGTTAAGAATAGCAAAATGTAACAGAATAGCAAACATCAAATGCTGGCGAAGTTGCAGAGCAAATGGAACCCTTATTTACTATTGTTGGGTGTATAAAATGGTACAATCACTACTGAAGGCTGTATGGCACTTTCTCAAAAAGTTGCAAATCGAAATACCATTTAACCCAGCCAATTCCACTACTGGGAATTACCCTAAAGAAACCATAACCGTCACCAAAGCAGATATATGCACATGCATGTTTATTGCTGCTTTGTTCACAATAGCAAAGAGTTGGAAACAACCCAAGGGCCCATCAATGAATGGATACAGAAGCTCTGTAATATTCACACTATGGAATACTATGTTGCACTGAAATACTAAGAACTTATCATAGTACACAAAATGCATGACCCTGGAAGATATTATGCTGGGTGAAATATCTCAGCCACAAAAGGTCAAATACTGCATAATGCCACTGTTGTAAAATGAGGCAGAGGGAGGACAGAGAAAGAGGGGATAAATAATGTAAACTGCATTGCAGATGAGGGGGAGAACTGTTTAAAAGGGGTATGTGATTAGATATTATGGTCACGACAGGAGTCCAGCATGAAGGCTGCACAGTAGGGTGAACTTGGCAGGGATTGTGTAATAATGAAAGAATTTTTATTTTACTTTTCAAAGAGAAGAGTGAATTGGGGAGAGGGTGTGGACACGGAGAAAAGTGCACCAATGAACGAATGGAAATCCCAAGTTTCTGTAAAATTTCATTAAAATTATTTTTGTAAAAAAGTGTTCAAAGCATCCCATCACAGGATGAATGCCTAAGTATATAAAAACCTCTCTGAAGTCATCTCATCTAGTAACCCAACTCCAATCTGCACCCTTATTTTAAGCTTCCACACCACCTACAAGCAGACCGAGAATCCCAAATCCCAATCCACTGCCTGCCTGTACACCCGTCCCTGAACAATCAGAATATCAACAGTAAATTTTTACAGAAAGGTGCAATGCAAGAGCAGGGTTAAGACTCTCGGTGTGGCATATTCGTCTTCAACTTAAACTCACTAACAAAACACCTTCAAAGAGACAAAGAGCTTTCTGTGACAGCTAATCGTAAATCTGTCCCTTAAAAAATTTGTCCATTAAGGACAGAAAGTTAAAACTCTGCAGACAGTGGACACAGATTAAAATACAGAAAAGTCCAGACCAAAAAATAAGTACTGTTTCATAAACTGCAACTTTTTAAAAAATTTGATTATAAAGGGAACTTGCCTTAAAGGAGCCCTGTGTACTTCAGTTGCTCTGTGGGATTTATGGCCTCAGACACCCAACTGAGGACCACTGCGACATGGGGGCTGCTATGAGGCAAAACCAACTCAATGGCAGTGCATTTATAACAGGAGCATATGTCACAGGAAAGTGACGCCACAGGCCAAGGTTCTGCTCTGAGAACACAGCACCTTCAAGTTCTGACCAAACTGTTTGTTGCCTTGTTTATCTAGTTTTCATTATGACTGCCTGTATCACCAGTATCTTCAGAAATCTAGAAATTGTTTCAAGACAATGGAAATATCACATATAAATTTATACATGTGATGACATGCGCTAAATATGTGCTGTAACTTATGTATTACAATAAAATGCATCCCTCAAAGAGGGAATCAGTTATAAATGTGGTTCATTGTAAACTGGAATTACCTCCTCAGCAAAGACTACTTGTATAGGGACAATTTCATAATCATTACTCTAAATGTCTGATTCTTTCAGTCAAGTAATGTCTTTTAATGTTTTTACCAGAGTAACCAACCTTGGTGTTCAGAGCCACACCCACAATACTTGCAGAGAACTGTACTTTCTATTCTTCGGCATTTAATTGTTATATTCACATGTTAAGAAATGATTCATGTAGAAAATTCATTTTTATAAGCATTCCTATAGATGATTTTTTTTTCTCCTGAACTTGTCCCTTTTTCTTCTGATGTAATTTGCTTGAGGTGATTACTGTAATAAACACTAAATCAGGTTACTATGAACTGAAATTCCCAGAACCTAAGACCAACAAGAATTTATTAGTACACAAACTCCACTTCAGTTTAACTTGCCACCTGGTCAAGTTCTGCTGAGTCAACGATTCAATCAATACAAAAGCTTCTAAGGATACAGGGATCAAAGGCTCCAAACTCTAAAATTCCTTTGGTAAGTCAAATCCAGAAACCTGACCATTTAATGAGATTCACAAAGTATACCCAACAGTACCCAAGAAAATAGCCAATAGGTTTCTCGAAGTTATAAAGCTTAAAAGATGCAGTCACCACATCTTCCACCAAGCCAACTGGATGGTTCAAACAGCTGACCTTCGCCACCAGGGCTCCTAAAACATCAAAGGGCCCAGCAATTTATCCCAACTTACTATCAGGGAAGAACTGCCTTATCACAGTAATAGTTTATACCAGGGGTTCCAAAACTTGCATATACATCCAATCCCATTAGAATTCTTAATATTTAACCTGGACATGTTTCTGTCCAAACCATCAAAATGCTCACTGATACTAACCATATCATTAATAAGGCCAATCCGTGTTGGTGGGGCCTGCAGACCTAGCAGTGTGGCAAGGCGCCGTTGCTTTTCCACGATGATGCCATCCATATCTAGAAGACGTGCAATATCCGTACGCTCAGGGGTGATAGGGATGGAGAGAGTGGCCAAGAGAACTCGAGTAGACATTCTGTGGAAAAACAGTAATTTGTAAACATCACCTGACAGGCTTACAAACAACCCTAACCATCCAGTAACAGATGCCAGTGGCCTCACCACACATATCCTTACATGGTAAACTACAGTTTTAAGTCTCCTATCTCAGCAAAGCACCCCATATAGTAAATGTTCTCTAGCTTTTATAAAGTAAGCTTGTCTGGTGGCCTAGTGGCAAGAAGCTGCAACTACAATCCCAGAGGTGCATGGTTCGAATCCACCAGATGCTCTGCCGGGGAAGGAGGGACAATCTCCTC